GTGAAGGTTTGTATAATGGTTCACTGCAACAAACTTCAAAAAGTGTGGAAGAAACAAGTACACTCTTAAACCTTTAAGTAAGAGAGATAAAGTTTAACTACAGGTCTCCTGCAATTTCTATATGCCTTTTTTACTTTAAGGGTAACTTCCACTTTATTATTATTATTATTTATTATTATTATTATTTTTTAACACCTACAGCACCTGGTATTGCTAGGTGGTCTCCCATCCAAGTACTAACCAGGCCCAACCCTGCTTAGCTTCCGAGATCAGATGAGATCGAGCCCATTCAGGGTGGCATGGTCATAGACATAACTTCCACTTTAAATTAAAGACTGTATTGCAATATAAAACAAGCATTAATTCAAAATGCATAAAAAATTACTTATTAGCAAGTTTATCTTAAACATACACAGCAAAAGAAAAAAAGAATTAAAAGATCGGAGAAATAAAAATGATGATGGAACTAACTATATTTTGATATGCAAAAACACAACAGAAATTATTTAAGTTCAATATTAAGAAAATGAGGATAGCTACTAGTTTTTCTTCTACCATTCATTAGCTGTATTACCTTGGGTATGTTACTTAACCTTTCTGCGCCTCAGTTTTCTGAGTAATAAATACAGAGAGAAACAGTTTGTTGTTCTTAGGAAGCTAAAATTCATGTAAGTGCTTAAACACAATTAGAGGCTGAAGTAAGTGCTTAACTAAAGGTTAGTTATTACCACCAAAGGGAGTAGCAGAAGGAAAACAATGAATAAAAAGGAGAACTAATCTTACCTTCGAGATTGAAATAAAGTTGTCAATATAATAGAATACAAATGACAAATTTTTATAATTCTGAAATTAAAATATTAACATTAACTGAAGTATAGTAAGCTAAATTGGCTTTTGTAATAAATTAGCAGTTTTAATTACAAAGCTTATTCTTGGCCCTGGTAGAGGGTTTGGTTTACCTCTAATCTAGTGAAATAGCCACAATTTTACCCATGAGTGCTCTATAAGCAGCTACTGTTTTCCTGTCCTTGACAAATAAGCTCATCTGCATGGAACAGAAGGTTCAAATATATCCTCATTAAATTTAATTTTTCAAAGTCAACTCAATTGAAAAATCGCCTGGTCTATGTAGTATTAAAAAGACAATGTAATGTTACCTAATCTAAGGCCTGTCCTTTCCTTGACTTCTACATCCCAGCTATAAAAATGCAATGAGCTCATAATCTCCAGTCTTCAAAATTCTAAAACCCTATTTTTGGTTTAAAATACCTAAAAAAATCTTTTATTAAATAGACCAGTGGAATAGTTAATGGCATAACTAAAGAATTATGCATGAACACTTCAAAAATTCTTGCTTTCTCTTCTTTTTAAATTTTACTTGCAAGGAAAAGAAATGAAATTATCCTTTACTAGCACTCCAGTTGCAAGGTAGCCCTGAAAAAAGAATATAGTAATGGAGATCTGTAACCACATATAAATCTGTATACAGAAATATCCAGTAAAGTGTTAAACTGTGAGGAAAAACCGTATCGTTTCAATGGTTTCCCACTGCTTGATGAGGATATTAGATTTCGTAAAAATGAACATTCAAATAGCTTCCTAAGAATAGAGACCAGCAATCCCAGAGGCTTGCCAGTGAATCAGTACCACATAAGACAGTCTCTTTTTATTTGGCTTCCAGGAACCTTTACTTCTCCATCTCTCTCCTACACTAGCTTCTCCTTTTCTTCTGCTCAAACTTTTCTTCTAAATGTTGGAGTCCCCTGGCTCTCAATCCTCTAAACATTTCTCTGCCAATTTAAAATTTTCCCCTCATTTCAAAGACCATCTACAGTGATGATCCTCAAATACATATTTCTAGCTTATCTCTATTTGGATTTCTATTAAACATCGTGAAACTTAAATTCTGTCTCAAACTAACCAAAGGAATTCTTTTAAAACATAAATCATATCATGTCACTCTTCTGCTCAAAACCTGCCTGAAGTTTCCTTCCTATCTTGTTTATTTTGAAATCTAAATTTCTTTCCATGGCCAACAAGACCCTAAATGGTCTGGTTTCTTGTTATCTCTCCAGCTTCATTTACCTTGAGTACTCACTCCCTGGCTGCCACATACCCCTAGCTACACAGTCTATTTGCTCTGCTTGGAATGCTCCTCCCTGAAAGCTTGTTGGAATTTACTTCCTTACTCTGTCAAGACTTCTGGTCAAACAGTCCTTCCTGACCATGCTATGTAAAATAGTGGTTTTCAATATTTTCCACATGTTTATCCTGATTTCTTTTACCATCAGATATTATTTTCCATTTTACTTTTGTTACTGCCTATCTCCTAACTAGAATGTGAGCTCAGTGAGGAATCAAGTCTTCGTCTTCTTTATTCACCTGTACCATTATTCACCTGTATCACTGTTATCCAGAACAGGGCCTGGAACATGGTAAGAACTCAAATATTGTTGAATAAACACATTAATTGAAAAACATTAGGACTGTAATTTAAACTTATAAACATAAAATAGTATAATCTGAAGTGAAATACTCTCTAGGCCACTCAATAATGTGGGTAGAATTTTGTCCCTGAATTTTTATTTGAGTTATAGTTTTTAAGTTTTTATCATTTAAACTAATTCGTGAGCCTCTACTTTAAAAAAATTCTTCTAATACATATAACAATTTTCCTTTTTGGATTTTATTTCTTCACTATTCATACAGAATACCAGACCAAAGACCTTTTCTACTCTTCCTTGATATTTTAAATATACAGTTAATATTTACATAAATACCTATGAGTCAACGATGAATTTTTTTGAATTTGTTTTTAAAATATTTCATCATAATCGACTTCTCTTTTACTTCATTATCAAAAAAGTACTAATCAATTACCAATGGAAAAATAACTATAAGTCTACAATTTAGATGGAAAGACTACATTTAATTAGACTTTAGATTTGTGAATCCAACACAAAGTGGTTTAATTCTTTTAATTCAAATCATGCTGTGAATTCACAGCAGGTATACCAAATGGCTAAAATGTGAATAGAACTGCTGCATTTCCAAGAAACTCGTAAAACGTGTCTGGTGCTCACTAACTACCAAGGCTTACATCTGATTTCATTGGACTCAAACTACTAAAAGATGAAAACAAGTTTACAGCAAAAATGTAATTGCTATGACTGACCTCCAAACAGAATAACTAACTATAACAGCCCAAACCATGAACTAATAACTATAATTTTCTGTCTCTAAATAGCAGATAGGCAGAAGTGGCTTTGATTCAAATGTTTTAAAAGGTGGAGGCTTGAAGACTAATGGCTTTTAATAGAACTCTCTCTCCATGGGTTTGTCAACACATTGATCTTAACAGACACCATCAATTTTGTTGTCCAATTAATCGGAAATTCAGCACTTTGTCTTTTTTTAACTCACAGTTATTACAGAAACATAATAGCTACATTTGCATAACTGCCTTCTTTTCCTTGTAAAGGAATAAAATAGGTAGAAATAGAATGTAGATAGGAAAAAATGCCTAATAAAGTTTGAAAACAGTCAAATTTGAGATTTGTGTCATAAAAGCCCAACTTTCCTTTTCAATTTATGTATAATACATAGTTATTTTTAAACTACAAATATAAATTGTGTATATCTTTTCAGAATATAAAAGATTCCTCTACTCTCCCCTTCTTTCTCTTGAAAAATTACATCATTAACAGCTAATAAATGTAGATGGAACAAGAGAATCAGAAATTCATTCTGGAACTCACAACAAAATGTTTGATTCAGGTTAAGATCATCATTTATCTTAAAACTCCAAAGTATCACCCCACAGATTACCTGCTAGTCACAAAGTGGGATCTTTTTTTTACAATAAAGATGTTTAGTGGCATCACCTTAACCAAGTATTCAAGCTCAACATCACTAATGGTGACAGTATGTGTCTTCTAGTGGGATAAAATAAAAAGTCACAGCATCACCTATGAACCACTCTTGCCATAAAATGTCTAACCTGAATCATGCCTCTAGGCTGAACTTCAAGTTTATAGAAAATGCAAAAAAATATAAGTTAAATGTCATCATAAGGAAATTACATAGGCAAATATCTAGCCTGTTCTCTATGGAATATCGATGTCATGAAAAAAATGGGGGACTATTCTAGATTGAGGGCGGTTAAAAACACATAACAACCAAATGCAAATGGTGAACCTTGATTAGGTCCTGGTTCAAAAACTATAAAAAGACATGTGGGAAATAATTAGGGAGATTTTAATATGCCAAAGTATGGAAGGGTAAAGTATCATGAGGTCTGCGACTTATTTTCAAACGACTGAGCAATAGAAAAAATAATAAAAATATAAACATATATACTCCTATACATGTGTAAACACACACATACATAGACCCAGATCTGCTAAAATGTTATCTGTTGATTCTAAGTGGTCAGTTCATAGGTATCAATATCCTGGTCTTCAACTTTTCTCTATGTTTGAAAAAATTTAAAATGAAAAGTAACAAACTTTTGCATTTAATGTTCAATATTTACAGTACCTGGTTCTTGAATGACATCTACCTTCCCCACATTGATATGAAGTATTTCACCATTCTTTGCAAATGTCTCCCATTCTGAATCAGTCTGCTGGCAGGATGGACACCAAGGGGCATAACTATAAAAGAATAGTAGCTAATCAATATAGACACATGAAAAATACTTGTAAAACAAAACGAATAGAATGTTTAAATTAAAAAAATAAATCCTTAATTAAAGGGAAGCACAAAAGCAAGCTTCCCCAAAGTCATCTGATATAGAAAAACAGAAGCATATTTCTCTCCTAGAATTTAATACATGAATATTAATTCCCCAAGGAAAAAAACAGCCAAATTTAAGATCTTCACAAACTACTGTAATATGTAAAATATTTTATTTCAAAGTTAATCTTACAATCAATCCAAATTTTGTCACTTTCTACAAAGCTCTTTGATTTTTGAGGCAAAACACTGTTTTGACTGCCCCACTAAAGGAAGACAATTTTAAACTAGCCAAACTGGTTTTGGATTCATCAAAGTTACACATCTGATGAGCAGAGATGGGAAAATTTGTTGCTAGTGGGTCCCCAGGAATGTGAATCATTTCCAAAGATCTGTGGCAGTTCTGACCCAGTCCAAGAAAGCAGAAGCAAGCTGTGGGCTAAACCAGCTCCACCAAACACTTTCTTAAATAGGAGTTAGAAATAACTGGGCCTTCAGCCAGAACCCTTACTTTTTCATTCAATAAATATGAATTGAGCATCATGCTAGAAGCTGAGGCCACAACTGTGAACAAGACAGACACGGTACTACCTCTCCTTGTGGGTACAATCCAGAGATGAACATTGGTACGCAGAAGGATAATGACAATCCAAGTGGCAAATGCCATGACTGAGAGTTTGGAGCAGATGCTACGGAGGCACTCTGGAGCTGGGTGATCTCAGAAGTACCCACAGAGAAAAAAGGCATCTGTGCCGACAGCTGCATAAGAGTAACAGCCAGAGAGGGCCAAAGAATATTCTGCTCTAAGCAGAGAGAACAGTAGATGCGAAGGCTCAGAGTACTGAGAGAAGAAAGTGAATATTATCCACAGCCTTTTAAAAAGTTGTATTAAAGAAGTTTGGACTTTATTCCAAGTTCTATGGTAAACCCTAAAGAAGTAAGAGAATTATGATGACTTACATTTTCGAAAAATCATCTGGTAGTCTGTGAATAATGGATGAGGGAAGGAGAAGATGGAGGCAGAGAAAAAAACTGGAAGGCTGGGCCATCTTCCTGGCAATATGCTAGTGGCCTCACTGTGCCCTCACGTAGTCCTGGAAAATACTACAAACACTCAGACCATAAAACTCTGAAATGGTCTAGGATTTTACCTGCAGATGTTAAAATGGAAATCCAGAGACAGTTGCTGTTTAGAACGTATAGTGGATCGAACAGTATTCTCTAAAAGGATATGTCCAAGTCCTAAGCCTCAACACCTGTGAATGTGATCTTATTTGGAGTGAGGGTCTTTACACATATAATTAAAGGATATTTGAGTGACATTATCCCGAATTTAGCTTAGACCATAAACCCAATGACTGGTGTTCTCATAAGAGAAAAATTTGACACAGAGACACAGAGGGAAGCCATGTGAAGATGGAGGCGGAGATCGGTGTTAGGCAGCTACAAGTCAAGGAATGCTAAGGATTGCCAACAGCCACCAGCAGCTAGAAGAGGCAGGGAAGGGATACCCTCTTAGAGCCTCCAGAGGGAACCATCTATGCCAACATGTTGATTTTAGATTTTTGGTTGTCAGAATTATGAGAGAATAAATTTCTGTTGTTTTAAACTATCAAGTTTGTGGTAATGTGCAGTAGCCCAAGGAAACTAACACAGAAAGGAAGATAATCTCTGAAACTAGAAGAAATTGAGATCAGCTATTCCTTATGAAGACTTAAAGGGCTGGTAGGGCTATGCTCAATATAAATTACTGTGAACAAACAAAACATTTGCTGGAAATCCATTTTAAAATACAAACATATGACACAATTAAAATGAAGATAAATATTACAGAATAATGTCACAAAATACATTAGTGCAGCTGGAGAGATGTTTTGTTTTGCTTAATAATATCCAGAACAAAAACCAGTAAATAAAACAAGTTAATAAATGCTCACAAAATAGAACAGCAAACTCCAGGGGGGAAAAAAATCCTTGGGAACTTTAATAATATTTCAAGATGTCACCAACTAGACATTTTATTTTTAAAATCTGCTTAAATTATATTTAAAAAATCTTTAACACCAGTCAAATATTGAGGAAATAAATGTAATAGATATTTAAAGAATACCTGATATCACTAAATTGTTTATATATAATGGGTGAATGTTAGCATATTTAAATTATGCCACCAAGTAGTAGAGGGCAAGGTATATAGATGAACCAAGATTGGCCATATATTGATAACAACTGAACCTGGATGATGGATAATAGGATTCATTCTACTAATCCTTTCATTTTTAGTGGATGTTTGAAAATTTTCATAATAGTTTTTTAAAGATTTGCTTAAATGAGAAGATATACCAAGTTCAAGATAAGCAGGCTCATCAGCACTGTAAAAATATCAATTTCCCCAATTTATTTTCCACTTTTTCCATTCAGGAACTGTTTTTACAAAATGCAGCATCTCTTATTTCGACATTAAGAAAAGAAAGGGGCAGGAGAGTAGGAGAAATTGAAAAGAATGCTTGCCAAAGAAATACATACGTACACACACGCACCCGCGCGCGCGCACACGAGAACAATGCCTTAGAGAAAGGAAAAAAAGGAGGGGGGAGGAGTGCTAAACAATGGATCAAAGGTCATCATTTACAAATCTTTTATCATGAACTAAGCAGAAGTATATATTATATAAGTACTATTCAAAACTCAATGCAATCATGCACATAAACCAACTTGGCTGAATAACAACAAAAAAGTATAACTGGGCAAGATATTGATCTTTCACATTATAAAAAGGTGGGGGTTTAAAAAGTCAAGACGAGGGGGAGGGATGCATTTATTTCAGGAAAAGTACGGAGACTGGATACAGCCCAAAAGAGAGAGGGCTGCCCAACGCAAGGCAGGCATTTCTCTCTCCAGCCTGGCCCCAGGGGCAGCCAGACTTAGTAAGCACAATTGTTCATCCTCTTTAACTCCATCGCTAGAAAAGACTAGTATAGTTAATTCTAAGATCATCCTAAAATGTCATTAATTTTCCCATTACAGCTCACTGTCCAATCCCTGAAGTCTCAGAGACATTAACCGGAGATTATGGTCCAAGAACAATCTACCGAAATCTTTGAAAGTGGACTTTTTAAACACCCTATCTCTACATTTCCAGGGAAAAGTATATTCCTGTTATACAGTAGGTGTTCAATAAATGTTTGCTAAATAAATAAGTGAACAAACTTTAAAGAAAATCATATTCTTCATCTGAGAAGTTATTTTCTATATATTTTCTACATATCTAAAATGTCAAGTGAGACTGGGAAAGCAGTTGGTAAACTCTAGGAAAAAAATAAAACAAAACATTTCATTATTAGGTACTCATCAAAGGCATTTCAGTATATTGGATAAGAGTTCTGCCAGAGGGTTCAGAAAGATCAACCATAAATTAAACATGTGGATTTGGGCAGGTTAATAATCACTCCATGCCTCAGTTTCCTCAACTGTAAAATGGGATAACAGCAGCTACCTTAGAAGGTTATTGAGAGGCATATATCAAGAGCAATAATTAAGACAAATTATGTTTGTAATATACACTACTTGGTTTCGTTAAAAACAAAACAAAATTCAAGAGTAAATCTGAAGATCTAATTTGCTTTATGAAGCAGTTCATGAACTGCGCAGCATCCCATCTACCAACTAAAAAGGTGCTCTGAGGGGTTGTACAAAATGAAAGTGTTTTTTATAGGGGCAAGTGAGCTATTAAGAAAAGAAAGTATTATTTTTGAGCCAGGACATTCTTTCTTTGAGGGAAGAGAACTGAAAGTGATATAGGACATCATCTGTAAAATTCTTAATCTTTTAGCAGGAAAGGATATGGGACATCTCTTGCAGAGTTCTTAATTTTCTTTTTTGTAAACCTAGTTAAGTTTTCTTCCCTCCTTTCTTTGGGAAAAAGGCCCACTCCCCCAAATCCAGATAATGACCCTGAAACTGGCAACTCAGGTCCTCCGGCTTTTGATAAGGATCATTGGGACCATTGGCCCTAGTCCAGGCAGGATCCTTAGAGTCTGAGAGGGGAGGGGACTTTAGGCCAAAGATTTTTTTATTCTTTAAGAAATATATTGAGTCACATGAGTTCTTTGTATATTTTGGATATTAAACCTTTATTAGAGGCGTTGCTTGTAAATATATTTTCCCATTCGGATAGTTGTCTCTTTACTTTGTTGATGGTTTCTTTTGCTGAACAAAAGCTTTTAAAATCACATGATATCACTTATAGTGGGATATAAACCTAAAAGCAACAAAGGAACAGGACAAACAAACAGAGACTCATGGACAATGGACTAGTGGTTACCAGAGGGTAGGGGATGAGAGAGGAGGCGGGAGGGAGACCGTGTAAAGGGGGGCAAATATATGGTAGCTGAAGGAAACTAGACTTTGGGTGGTAAACACACAACAGAATATATAAATGTCAAATTATAATGTATACCTGAAAATTATATAATTGTATTAATCAATGTTACCCCAATAAATAAATAAAAAAAAAAAAAGGA